GTTTTGCAAAAATTGAGTAAGTTGGAGCAGGTTTAGAAATCGAGTAGGCTGTGAGTCATTCAAAACAAGATGCAAATTTTGCAGAACTTTTCGAAAATTTTTAATGCAAATTATAATCCCTCATAATTTGTTATAATTAGTGGGGTGCGCAGATTTTTTCTTCTTGGGTTGGGGGGGGGGGGGCTGTTTTTTTTTGAAAAAGTTCAGGTTTTTGTAATTTTTTCTCTAGGCCGAACAATTGTTTTTCCGGGCACTCACAAAAAAACATAAAGACTCAAATTTTTCAAAAAAAAACTTGTCAAAAATGCTGTTTTTGGCACTCTTTGGAAACTTTTAACCAAAAAACTGCTTTTGTTTGGCGCGTGTTTCCCCTCAAGATTAGTTATTTTGGCGACGAAGGCACCTTTAGAAATATTTTGAAGTTGGCTGGGCAAAAGTGGATGTCATAAGCATATACCAAATGGGGGAACCTTTGGAAAAACTTGGCAACTAGAATTGAGGGAGGAGCGGTTGCACGCTACTCTTAATGGATTTTAAAGGTATTATAATCGACTGAAGTTTTTTTAAGAAATAGTGATTAAAAATGATTTTCAATCAATTCTGTGTAATTATTATCAATTATAATGGCAAAATTTTTGCATTAAAAAAAATCGATTATAATCGATTTTTCGTCAGTGGAACTTCAGTGCGGGTATAATTGACTCTCTCAAATAGTTTCTTTCTTGATGACGTAAAACGTACGCTTGCGTTAGCTTATCTTTTTCTGGAGATAGATAGCAAAGGTGCATATTTGAATGATAAGCTCATACAAGTGTCTCCTCTACACAGCCATTCTTATCTTCTGCATAAAATATCGATTAAAATACTCCCACGGCGACTCAGTAAACCATTTAGTCACTTTTTTCATGTTCAGTATCGAGAATTAATCTCTGGTTTTTACTGAACAATGCTCTGTGGGAAAAGATGGATGGAATTATAAAGGATAAGAGATCTCATTAAATAGCATCAAAATTGATCCTTTTCCCCATTTTTTGTCTTCTTAAGTCGCTTTGAGCGCTTTTGAGGTCTCTGAAAACTCACAAATTGGATGCATATATCAACGAGATGTCATCATTCAGCAAATACCTGCAAGGTTTTCTCACCCGCTACGCAAAGAAATTACATAAAATTATTGAAAGTATGTCCCTAATGCAGAATATGATAGATTGAATTTGTTAACATACACATCACCCAAACCCCCCCCCCCCCGCACACCATCACCACAACTACTAACCAGTGAGCGGACGCCTTTTCCTTCTTCACTCAGGGACTCGACCTCCTGACGACCCAAAGGGTCCCCCCTTTGTTAGACCCTAATTTTTTTCTAAAGGCGCTTTAGGTGCCAATATATACTAATTTTGAAGGGGAAGAGGGCGCAAAAACGCAATTTGTTTGTCAAAACTTTGCAAAAAGTGCTCAAAAAATGCTTATTTTATCCCGTTTTTTTAATAAAAAGAAACCCGCCCCTATTGAGAAAATCCAGGAGACGCCTCTGCTCTCAACAAAGAGTTCAAACTCGAACTTTTAGCAGTTGGACTTTTAGACAACCAATCAGAATCGAGTACTTTACATGCAGCGCTTAGCAATTTGAGCCTAAATTGTTTAGTGAGACGGAAAAATTTACTTGAAGGTTGGGGGGGGGTGGATTAAAAATCTCCAATAAGGTTGGGGGGGGTGGATTAAAAATCTCCAATAAGGTTGGGGGGGGGGGTGGATTAAAAATCTCCAATAAGGTTGGGGGGATTAAAATTCTCCAAAAATTTTTGGTGGAATTACAACCAAACAATACAACTGCTGCAAGCTACTCATTAGTGGCGTAATTTGATTCGTATTTTAAGTATATTCAAGTTGTTCTTTCATTGCTTAAACTTCGCAGCAGTAACGTATACTATTTTCTTGGAACACAAGCTTCGCTGATTGGAATGGTAATTTTTATATCAGATTTTGCGTCATTTAGTTCTAGAATTCTAAATTATTTTTCTCGACCAAACTTTGACTGCTTTGTAATTAAGCACTTTCCGGGTTGTTTTTGGGATGTTTCGTTTTCATAAATTACGAATTTGACACGAGTTGTTAGCTTACTTAACAAATTTTCTCTTTCAATACAAAAGAGTTTTTAAAGTCCGAGCTTTTAATTCTTAAAGAGATGTGATTTCCTCAAAAGCCCAACTTCGGTCATCGGTTTTTATCAGGTTCGGACAGCTTACCTATCACAAAGAGCCCTGCTTTTTAATGGGGGGACGGTAATTCAGAAGGCAGGAAATTAGTCTGAAAATCAAAAAATGCGGAAACACAGAAGACAGTCATTTCAGAAGAGTAAAAATTGGGAAATTGAGTCTACATCTTATAGAAAGGCTTATTTTTAGTTTAAATTTATACTAAGCAATCTGGATTAGCGATGAAAACTGATTCACATGCTGTTTGATCTGGCGTGTTAAAAAAGCCCAAATCAGCACCTTTCATATCATTTAACTTCCGAACTCACACTGAATCAGCAACATGATGAAATTTGATTTTTATTGATAAATTGGCTGCGCATTATGGCTAGTTTTGGAGATTTAAGAGAAGTTTCAAAAACAAACAAAAAGTTTAGCTTCCATCGAGATTCGATCCATTGTCTTAGCAGCATGCCAGGAACAAATTTCAAAACTGGTTTGTAAAATAGTCGTAGCTGTAAAATTATGATTGATAAATGACAGTGAAAATATTCTAATTAAGAGTCAGTAAACGATTATTTAGGTCGGGTTAAGTTTCTTTTGTTTCTTTTTGAATACTTTTTCTTTTTTTTTCGGCTGATTTATTTTTTTCAGGATTTTTGATTTTCCGGTTTGACTGTTGATATCGGTTTAAGTTTGAGGATCTACTTAACAATTGCCCCCCCCCCCTTTGGTACCTACTTAAGAATTGCTACCACTATTAATAAAAGCAGTAAATTAGCGCATGAGCTTTGTATTGAGACTTCTAATTTAGCTGCAATCTGATTGGTCGAAAATGAGTTATATTAATCTACTTAACAATTGCCCCCTCCCTTTCTTAAAGGGGGGGGGGGCTGTAATTGTTAAGTAGATCCAAGTTTGACTGAAGTTCATTTGTTGAAAGGAAAGCGAATTACTCTCCAATAACGAAATTGCAAAAGAGCAAATAACGTAACTGATATTATGTTATTTTTTCAACATGATAAAGCATTTATCTATAGATTTTCAAAAAGAAAAACAAAAAAATAAATTTAAAAAAATCCATTATAATTGATTTTTGAATTTCAAATAGCTTAAAAACCATTTAATTTTTATTTGATTTTTTTTCACTTTTTTTATCGTCTGTTTTCTATGTTTTTTAGTTCATTTATTACAAACTGGCACTGAAAATTACTTTGCAAAGCAATACTTATCAAGAAGTAAAAAGTGACAAAAAATTCAACCCGAGCGCACATTATACCATGCTTTCATTGGTCTGAGTTTTGAAGAAAGTGGCGGAATTTTTGCGCTCTGTGTTTTTAGATGAAACTTGACCAAGTATTTTTTTCTTCTGCATATCCGGTAAATTCGCTCTTTATTTGTCCCAAATTTTGTCTTATTAGCCGAAAACTATATATGAATTTGAAACTTAAACTAATTACTAACCTAAGCCAACAAATCAGTAATTTATATCTTAGAAAGGTCATTCTCGAGGGAGGCAGAATTTAAAAACAAATCCATTAAATTTAAATTACAATTAATCAAATTCTTTTTTGTTCGCAAAACACGTAAAATTGTTGGAAAATGCAGTTACAACATTCAAGGATGCAACGAATTGCTTTGCTTTGAACAGATTTGTTTAATTTTAAGGCTAGCTAGCTCCAAAAAACTTATTCGATTCAGGAACAAGTTCACAAGAAATAATATAAAATTTAAAAAGTTGATTGCTTTCTAAGCAACGCAGCGAATTTGGCTCATAGTTTTGTTTAGAACCAATTTTGTTTAAAGACACGTCAAATGAAAAGATTGGTTTCTGTTTTTATTTTTTGGAAGGGGAGGCAAAAAATAATTTAATATCTAACTTTAGATGGAGGCTATTCTTATGATAGAGGAGTTGAATGATAGAAATTTTACAACCAACAAGATTTCTCGTATTAAGGCGAGTCCCTGAATGCTCCGTCTGCCTTATAAGGTCTATGGAGCAGTAATAACATGAAAAATTAAAAGTAAAAAAAAATAGTTTTTTTTTTAATTTGAGATTTTTGAGAAAATCAACCCCCTGCACGCCATATGAAGTACAAAGTGATAGATTTCTCCCCTAGTACCAAATCAATTATCGGAAATAAGCTTCCTTCAACCAATTTAGAACAATTTTTAAGACGGATTAAATCTTCGCCTACGCGTTAAAAGCGCAAAATATATCGCGCGTTAATTGTCCAAAATTGGCCAAAATGGCAATCTTTAAACCCCCATAACTTTACAAAAAAAGATGAAAGGTGAAATATATATTTTTTTGAATTTAAGCCCAGAACAAGTTTTTGAATGATATATAAAGTTTAAAAAATCCCGTCGAAAATGGCTAGATAAAAAGTCGAAATTTGTCTGAAGAAAAAACCCATCCCGTGCACAAATATTCCGTTACCTTCGTTACGAAAGTCGGAACAATAAAACTTGTCAAAAGTTGTAGAGAAGTTCCTAAACTGGCAGTGGGCGTGCTTCGAACCAGGGGCATACTCGCAACACATACCAGCTGACTGCATTTTCATCTTATTTTGTTTTTGGCCTTAAAACACAAGTACTGAGTACATTTTTGTTCCATATTTGAAAAATAAAGAAATATTTCAAAGATTAATTGAGCATATGAAGCACTGTTACAATATCTGTGCAATATTTTTCCCAGAACAATCTACCAAAACAACTAAAAAATTAAAAGTCACGTTTTAGCCATTTGACCTTTTAAAAATGACATTTGACCTTTTCAAAGTTCTGTAACCTTTGATCTTTTAGATTGACGTGTGCGTGAGTGGGAGCAGTCTGTCCTCGAGTAACTCTGTGATCATGCTCGTCATCATGGGTTTGCTCTACGCATTAGGGTGTGCACTGACAGCCTCATTCCACGAATTCAACTCAGACAGACAGGTCAGTCAGCCAATAGAGGTCAAAAGGTCAAAAGGTCAAAAAGTTTAGGAAAAGCATCCAAAAGTTGAAGCAAAAATGTTTCGATCTGATGTATATGTTTGCGATGGGGCATTTTCGTCGCGATTCCTCAAAGTTTTCTCAAATATTTCTCAGAGTTCAAGTTCCAATTTTAGACTTTTTTGTTTTCTTATCATCAAAGTTGAATTTTACTCTAAAAAAATGGTCAAATTTTTTGTGTGATTTTTAGCTGCTCCAGCTTCGAACAATAATCCATATATGTCTCTTCATGGCCACTGTAGCAATGGCTCTTCTAATTATGGACCAGTCTCTCCCTTCGCTCCTGATTTTCGTGGCATTGTATGGCCTTTCGTATGGATCTGTTCGCACGTTCAGCGTGGCCTTCCTGCACGAGCTTATGGGCATTAAGTTGTTCAGCCATTCATGGGCACTTCAGAACTGCGTATCGGGTGTCGGCTTTGTACTCGGTCTGCCAATTGCGCGTAAGCATTTTTTAAGCATTTTTATAGCATATTTTAGATAAATCACATTTTCTTTGTTTTCAGGTAAAATTTTCATTCAACGTTTGTTTCGAAAAAAAATTATTACAAATTTTCAAATAAAATTTCAAATTTTATGGGTGCATTTACTAATTTACGGTATTAATTATGTTTTTTTTTCTACTCCATACAAAAATTTTCAAGTATTAAAACAGCTCAAATGTAAGTTTTTCATAGCATTTCAAACAAAAGCTACGTTCGTTTATTTCTTCTTTCAGTGTATATTCGCGGCCTAGTTTCGGGTTCATATCAAGCTACGAGTCTCCTGTTTGCTGCAATCTCACACCTTCTCGGATTTATACTCATGTTCGGAATGAAACGACTCATGCAAGATCCCTCACGAGCATTCATCGCCACACTCGACTACCCGCCGACAACATTTATCCACTCGGCGTCAAACGGCGACACCTCGAAAGCCGAGTACGAGTCGGAAATCAAAGCGCCAAAATTTGAAGTAGTCTCGTCGATGATGTCGAGTGCCGAAGATGAGACGATTGGCGTTAAATCCTCGTTAGCCAATCAGCTTTCACTTAAGGACTCCCACGACAGCTTGTATCAGACAATATCACCCACTCAATTAAATGTAAGTTTGAACTTATTTGACCCTTAGTAATATCTCAGACAACATATGAACATGTTTATATCACTTAAGTTGAGATATTTTATCCACGAAAGAAAGGACTAAAAAACGAGAATCCCTGTTGCGCTCCTGAATCGGAATTTTGTGGATTTTTTTTTCGTTATTTCCCCAAGCTGGGTAATGGTGCCTTACATTAGCCAGGGGCCATTCTGAACGCTTCACCACCAAGGATCGGGATAATTGTACTGCACTATTATTGTGAGGTCTAAATAACTTAATGATGCACACCCAATTTTCTTTGAAAACACTTTTCTCCAAACATTTTTCACAGACCAATATTTTAGCATAAAAATTCAAACTGGGTCTTTTAGTAGAGCAACTAAAGATATATTGATTGACAGTCAATGTTGAGCTCCCCCAATTAAGACAATTGTTTGTTAACAGAACTGATTGTTTTTGAAATCAGAACAAGACTGCTCATTTATCAAGGCAAAGCCCTGAATGTTCCACCTTCCCCTTAATTGGTATCAAATAGTTGTTGTTAAAGACGATAATTTGAAAAAACATAAATTTTGAACAGTTTCAAACATCAAGTGTGAAAGTTTGAGCGGTGAAGATTAATACGACCGATAAGCTTGCCTCAACATTTTTGTAGTGCGGCATAATTAACCACACATAAATAAATTGCGTCAGCATTTGAAAGAAGTCTTCAAAACGCGTATGGCAATGTTCAAAACCCCAGAACTTTAGAAAAAACAAACTAAGGTAAAATATAATTTTACATCTGAACTCAGGGAGTCGATATCTTCAATGAGGTAAGAAAAATTTTGGCAATAAATTTCATTTCGGTCGCCAAAAGTTAACTGAATCAAAGAGACCACCTATCCAAACTTTCCGCAATTCTTTGGAAGTCGGAATAATATTGAAAACTAGCGGAAAAAATGGTTCATGCACGCAATACTTTTCGTGCAGACTTTAAACGCAGCGGAGTGCGGAGGGGAGCAAGCGGTCGCAACTTGCCAATTTTGCGTTTATAGTTATTTTTCTGACTTATAAATGGTTTGAGTTTCTTAAAATATGGTCGGTTAAGCACCCTAGAACCATTTTTCGCTGCTTTCGGAACCTACAAAATATTGTAGAATTTTTAAATCTCTGCGGTAATTTCCAAAGCATCAAGGAATGAGCGCTATGTTGGAGGGGGAGTCTCTTATGATGAAGATATCAAACGATGGAAAGCTAATTTTAGCCAATCAGAATTTAATAATCAAAATTCTCAAAAAAAAAACGGAAAAAATTTCAAATTGAGCAAATAAATTTAGGCCATTATAAGTAAAATGGACTGATTGCAAAGTAAGCAAACTCATGAACCCTCTAATATTGTAAGATCTAAGAGTCATCGGAAAAAGCTGAATACTTAAAGGAAACTGATTTATAAAACTTTGAAAAACAAAACAGAAAATTTATTCGATATCAGGCCGAACTGTACAGAAATTTTGGTTGCTATTTTTTCTGCTAACTTTGCCTTTGGTTTTTTCTGCAAAAGTCAATAAGCGAATAGGAACGTATACCGATTCTGGTTGGTTGCAACTTTTTCATCGTTCGGTTCCTCCATTATAAAAGTAGCCCCTCCCCCACACCCTCTATATTGAACTCAAAAATGACCATTTCCGCAATTATTTTAAAGGAATGCTTGCATAAATAAATGCAGGGTAAATGGATTTCCCAACACTGAATTACCACTGAATCCATTTTGTCGACCAATTGATAAAATGCGGATACATATGACAATAAATTATATAGACCATTTTATTTTCCTCAAACAAAGGATATAATTTGTCAAAAAATGGAAATTTATCATAAATCATCGTCAATGATGGCCCAATTCAAAAAAGTTTCCCTGTAATTTACACTGGTCTTGAAAAACGTGCGGTCGTCGTAAAACGGCGTGAATAAGTTTACATATGCGCAGGCAAGATCAGGTTTACTTTTGCTATAACTGAAAAATTTTCGCCCTGTTTGGACTGAAAAGCAAAGTTTGGTGTTCAAAAACCAGCTCGGTGCCAGATGTTCAGGAACCGATAATTTCCAACTTATTAAGCATCCCGTTTTCGGACTGTTGTTCCTGTTGTAATAAGATATCGTCGAAGTTGGATTCCAGTTAAAGTCAAAACTGGAACACCACTCCATGTTTTTTGCCGCACCATTTCCACAATTTTCCGATCCATGTGAATCGTATTTGTAACAAATTTTAACATGTTTGAACCAATCTTCCGCATCATCAGGAGCTCGTAGGTTCCAAGATAAACTGCAGCCGCCGGAGCTGCGAGTCCAATCTTTAAACTGTGCTGTGAATTGGTTGATTTTGACGCAAGAGGGCGATGTCCCTGAGCAAAACTTTCCAGGCATGTCACTTTTGAATTCAAAACATAATTCAACGTCTTTCCACCAACTATGCCTGATCAAATTGAACTTCACGAGTTTACCAAGGGCAATTGATTTCACATAACTAGGCAGAGCTTTTCCTGCTTCTTGTGTAACTTCTTGAAAAATTTCCGTTAGATTGGTGTATGTTGGCCGCAAAGATGAGATTCTGCAGATCCTGAAAATTGAATTGAGAGCTGAATTTATTATAAAAAAGATAAAAAGATCGAACAACAACAACCTTGTTAGAGCAACGATGCAATTGTTTTAATTCTACAGGGTTCCCTTATTAACCAGATTCCGGCTTTTGCTTTACGAAACCAGAAATAGCTAGTGATGATAATGAAAAACAAAATTTTTCTAATTTAGAAATTGCTTATGATTTATCAAATCACCATTTTTCTTTATTTTATTTGGCGCCAGGGAAAAAATTCCAATTTTTGTCAAACTCTGCAAAAATTGCCCAAAACGACTTCATGGTACGTTTTCCCGAAGACGACTTCATGGTACGTTTTCAAAAAAAAAGAGTTCTTCATATGAAAATGCCCATTATGCATGATGAAATTTTATAAGCCTATCCATTTAAGGACTATTAAACCAAACATTTCTTGAGTTTATTATTTTTCTTCAAGTTTTGCTCGATTTTAAGTGATATAAAATATTTATATCCAACTTGGGGTCGATTGAATTCTGCAGATATTTGAGGGAACTTCGAATCTGAAACTGCAAATCGGACAAGTACGCTTTCATCAGATGATTTTCCACTGCAGTGTACATTGAGCTCATTTTCTCCGGCTCGTCTTTCCCAATCAACTCGTAAATGGGTCTCAGAATTGTTTCGATTAGCCAGGGGTACTTCCGGAGGAAGGGAACAGTGTCGGAAGCTGTGAAATTTTCTGCTGGGGGTATTTGCTTTATCGCTGTTAACATCAATTCCAAATCAAGAATTTGCCTCGCTTGAATAATGGTTGTTAAAAAACAAGTTAAGAAATTGGACACACGACATTGCAGTTAGAAAAGTTGTGCTAATTCCAGTACATGTTTTTGAGAAAATTAAATAATATAAATTTTTACCGTTTCTGCGGAAAAAGTTCAGTGATATTTCTCAAAATCAAAATTTGACTCAAATCAAAAAAAATGAAAAACGTTGAAAAACTAGGTTAACCAAAACTTTTCTATGTCCTCGATAAGACAACTAGGAACCCAGCTAAAGCTCGAAGGACGTGTTTGTTATTTTTGAATTTTACTGATGCAGAATGAAATGCGTCGTTTCAAAAATTGGACTTTGCTTAATACACTAATCGTTTTTCTACTCAAATAAGCAAGAAAGAAAATTTTTGAGATAATAGATTTTTCCTAAGAAAACATTTCTCCTACAAAAACTCAGGGAGTCGCAGCTTTTGTATGAAAAATTCTTGCAACCAATTCTTTCGATTAAACCCCTCAAATCAGATTTGAGTGGGTTGTTTTTAAGGTTTTTATAACAAAACGGTCAAAAATGCAAAAATTTTCCAAATATCATTATTTTTATCATTAGATTTGAGTGGGTTGTTTTGGTAGGATACTTATCAAGAAAAGACCAAAAAATGGTCAAAAAATCAAAAATATAGACAGCTTCAGCAATTGAATATCACGCAACATGTTGTTTTGATTGAACCCAAAATTTTGAATTTGAGATATTATTCCTCGAGAAAAGTCAAAAATCTTAAAAAACGGTTAAAAAATCAAAAAATTACCTTTTAAGGAGCGAAGTTTGTTTGTGGAAGACAGGGAAGCTTACCACTACCCGCTGTCTCCATTGAACCCATAATCTCGGTTTGGGAGATTAGTTTTCACGAAAAGTCAAAAAAATTCAAAAAAGGCCAAAAAATTAAAAGATTGATTATTGTTTTGTTTTCTTTGAACATTTAAAATCTCTGATTTGAGTGTATTTTTTGAGAAAACGAGAAAAAAATCAAAAATATCGGTCAAATGTTTTCACCACAGACGTTTCGAAGGCTGTAGACAGAGAGGTAAAACAAAAAAAGAAAAAGAAAGTAACCAGGCGCACAGATGAGAAGGCGCTCTCTCCTTCTATATCCATTTTTGATATTCGATAGAATAGTTTCTGAGAAAAACTAAAACATTTTGTAAAAAGTTAGAAAAAATCCAAAACGTCTCAAAAAAATTAAAAAAAAAAAACCCAATTCCATTACTTTTTCATCAAACAAAATTTCTGGGCAAACATGCCAAGCAAGGCCTCTGAATTTGGAATTAGCAAAAAAAACAAACCCGACAACCTTGAAGCACACTTGAGTTGAGCCCAAAATAAAGAATGTAGAAAAAACTTTTAAAAGTTTAAAATTCCCCTACAAATAGAATGACCGACACTAGCAACTACCATGATACTTGCCTACGGCACAAAAGGCAAAGAATATCCGTGATATGGCAACTAAGCCGGCAAAACTTGAGCAGATAAACGAAAATCCGGAAAATCAAGTTTTACCGGAAAAAAAAAGTTTTCAATCAAATACTTACTTAAAAAACAAGGTCCGGCCGGGATCCAAACACCGCATTATAGGGTGCACAGATGACGGCGTTACCTCTAAGCTGGAAGTTGTACAAAGGAACCTGGAAGTTGTTACAAACAATTCAGTAATAATTCAAGATGAAAATGTGGAGGAAAAGTTGTTTACAGGAAACAAAATTCTACTTCCCGATTACAAAACACTTGCTTTCGCAAGTGTAATAAAGAAGCATCGCGGTGATGCATCAAGAAGCAAAGCGGGGATGTTATGGGAGGGGTCAAACAACTTACGTGCATTGGAGTACTCTCTGAATCTAGTCGATTGTAGAAACTTCTGCGGAACGTCGAACAAACTCTTTGTTGTAGAAACCTTTCTTGGTCTGTCTGTTTTCCAGTAATTGTTGAGAAAAACGTGAACACTCAGCTCAACAATTTCATGATCGGTCTTTCCCCGATGGAAGTCTTTCGAAATCAAGTGCTGGCTTTTAATAAACTGACCGAAACGACCCATTGTTATGTAATGTGTTCCAAAAGTATCTATGAAGTCTTGATATGCTTTTGGATCATGTTGGAAATATTTGGGTAACATTGACAAGCGCTTAGTCGCGTAACTTCCGAGTGTTACGTTCTGAGTCGTGTCCAAATTGAGAACAACAGAATTGAAAAAAGAAAAGACTTCGGCAATCACAGTTGAGTATTCGGACATTTCTTTACCCTTGGCACGGTAATTTGGGTTATTCGAGAACATTCCTTAGGGATAAGTTCGACTTGGCTTCCATAGTGAGCAAATGATTTGAAATTTTAGTTAACTGAGTTTCCATTTTTAGATCTGAATGAACCTTTAAAGCGAATGTTTTCAAAACTCATAGTTGAGATATTGAATTTTGGGAAATTATCAAAAAATTTCTTTCAAAAACAATTTTTTTGTTTCAATATTGGAGTATATACACAGTACTCAGCTAATTGTACTATTGCCATTCCAAATTCAGAACTTAAGACGTATTTTCTAAAATGGTTACTAATTTTTATTGTTTCATGATCTTCTTTATAGAGAACTTGAAGTCCTTTGTTGGTCTTTTCGTTATGAATAAATTGTCGTTATGAATAAAACGTTAAAAAGTTATAGAGCCACGAGTCAAAGTGATCCCGTTCCTTCGGTCGGCCAAACGCCACTTCTCTCGGCCATTCGGTGTTTCAAGTCGGAAAACGAGTGGAATATACGTGTGGATGTCCTGAGACTTGGATTCGGGTAGTTAGAGTTGTTATTGAATTTCAGCTGATCCGGAATGAAACCTTCTTAACAAAAATGTGATAAATTTTTGTTAAATATGTCTGTAATTTTTGTCTAAAATGTTTTCAAGAGCATCAAAATTCTCATATACTTTTTAAACTCGAGCCACTAGCGGATTGTAAACAAGCTTTTTTCCGTCAGCTGTTTGTCGCACAGCCCGAAAGACATTTCGCAGATTTTTTTTTGTGGAAAAACTAGTGTTATAGGGTGCAAAGATGACGGCGTTACCTCTTAGCTGGAAGTTCTACAAAGGAACCTAGAAGTTGTTAAAATTCTGAAACCGATCCCACCCATCGCAAAATAAGATACGCACGTGTTAACGTATACAATTATTATAAATCTTCTTAATATTTGAAAGGTTTACAATTTTTTGGATGGCTTTTCAAACTCAAAATGATTATAATTTTCAATCTTAATTTTATTACTTTTTTCAAAAACGCAAAAAAAAGTTCAGGTTTGAAATTTTACCAGCTTAAAAGATTCAATTCAAAAATTATATTTCACGGTTGTGCTAAAAAATTGTTTCAAAAATTATAAAAAACCAGTCAAGAGGTAGTAAATTTGCATTTTTGATTGCAAATAGTAGTTTAAAAGACTAACGAGTATCATGGTTGTCTGGATTAGTACCCAACTCGGGACAGGTGAAGTCTAACAGGGTGGACTTCTTGTAACCAGTAGTACGTGAGTCATCCATGTTGAACATTGTAATGTCCACTCCCTTTGACATTTGCAAGAGACCAGAAGGGCTGAAAGCACAGTCTGTCGCGAAGCCTAAAAAGCATTTTTTTCTGATAATATTGGTCTGAAAATTATGAAAATATAGTGTTTTTTTCTTGTAAGAGTCGATAAACGTAGTTCAGATTCGTATATAGGTCCTGATGATTTTTTTTTCAGGAAAAATCTTGAAAAGATCTTATATTTTACAGAAGTGCGTTCATACAAATTTATGCATTTATGAATGGTTTTAGGTATATAGGCACTATTTGAGTTCAATTTTATCCCCCCTGCCTCTTTTATCCCCTCTCGGGCGTTCGACCCCCTGACCACTCAAAAGCTCCCCCTTTTGATACTCTTTTAAGACCTCCATTTTTGGCTGGCGGACTCTAAATTATTTCTGAAGGCGTCTTTGGCGCCAATATATTCTAACTTTGAGAGGTGAGCACGCGGTCAAAACTGTTCAAAAAGAGCCTAAAACGCTTTTTTTGACATGTTTCAAAAAAAAAAAAAGAAAAAAAAATTAGTTTTGGATGTATAATTTAGTTGTTCCTTGCCAATAAAAGTTTTCTAAAATATTTTTCATCAAAATAAGCTCACAAAGAAAGAACACGGGTTTGGTGTGAAAACAGTTTAATCTTTTTTGGGCTTAATTTTAAAATTTTAAATGCGATAACTTTACCTGTAATTACATACAAGGCCCAAATGTTGAGAACTAAATGAATCTTCATTGCTAACAAGAAATGGTCAATTTAAATGTCTCGGAGCTGAAAAAAGCTTGATATCGAAGTGAAATGATTATGGTAAATAACGATATAAGATCATTGATTGTTCTATCAAAAGTTCAAATGACATTGAAGAAAAGTTCAACTTCGCTCATTTCTTTTCAAGAAATATCAATTTTGCGGGTATCATTTCTCTTGATGAAGAAGAGTCGGGTATTTATCGTAAATGCGTTTCAGGAAGATTCTCGAAGACAGGAGTCCCTCGGAGTCCCAGATGTCAATGACCACGGATCTAACGGACGAACCTCTAGCTTTGGATCATCAGCTCTCGTGTCACCAACAGACAACTCCTCGATGGAAAATTCCACCATGTTACGTAACAGAGTAAATGAACAACACGACGTAATAGGAAATGTGAGTAATAATATAGCAGAAAAGCACATCGAGAGGATAAATCAGCACAGTGGGAGTTTTGAACTGGACGAAAATGGATCACGCTGCGATGTTCCAGGTACTTTTTTGATCGTTGCCTTGATAGAGTCTCGCAGGTTCCAGCTAGGAGTATCCGGTTTAAAATAAGAGAAAAACTCAGTATTTCTCCAGAAATGTATTTGTAAAATATCAGTTCTGTATCAGGTTCTGGCAAGTGGCTTTTATCTCTGATCAAAGATAACAGAGAACACAACAGCAGTACTGTAACAGTACTGAGTCAGTACTGTTACAGCAGTTTTTTTTTGTATTCTGCTACTTTTCTGATCAGAATAAAATCAAAGTTTTTATTTCTGTGATTTCTATGATCAAAAATTGAATCAGAAACAATCAGAACAGCAATTTTTTGTAATAAAGCTCAAAAAAAGTCTCAAAAATAACAAAATTCCGCGCCGAGGCAAAAAAGTGACATCAACGAAAATATTTGGTTGGGCTGATATTACTGTTTCACTTACTGCGACAGAAAGTGTCTTGTAATTGGGAACTAGACTTTTTTGCGGTGAAAAATTTTTCTTACACTTTTTGCAAGAAGTTGATGTTGAGTTTCTTAAGATTTTTTAAAATCCGGTGATTGAAGACGCATAAAAACGGGATATATAAGCATAAAATTGATAAATCAAATTTAATGAGCTAAAATATGAAGCATGAAATGACTAAAAATCCTCAATTTTTCAAATGTGTCTGGAAAGTTTCAAGGATTTTTAGTTTCAAAAAAGTTTAGAGCAAAAAACTGAAACTTTAAAAAATGAAAAAATCCAAAAGTCCTGAGAAACAAAATGAAGCATTGCGAAGACCTTGAATTACCTAAAAGTCATCAGTGCAAATCCATTTTTCTTAGAGCAATCCCGAGCGTTTTTGGATAATTATTTGCGAGTTGGGGAAAAAATTTCGTACTAATACGCAATGAAGTTTTGATTACTAATTTATAAAAAAAACATCCAAAGGTCGGTCGAAATATTTCCAGTTTGGTTCGAGTCGGTCAAAACATAGCACACTTGAGTGGCACACATTTTTTCTTCATTAGAGCCTATTCCTTGGCTGATTAAAAACATTTTACATAGAGAATTTAACAACCTGTTATCATTCAATCAAACAATAAATCAACTTTTTAATCGAAAAATCAAAAAACGAAAATGTTGAAGTTAAAATCACCGGAATGTTGTAGTTGATCGCAGATGATATATTCATGATACATTCTCAGTTGATCGATTACTGGTCGATGAATTTCTGGTTATGATGAGTTATCGGTTGATGATAATAAAGTCAGACAATGATGATATAAAACGGAAGAAGTTCTGAAATGCAATCATTGCATAAGTATACTTTATAATTTACAAGATATCACGAAAACTATAGTTTCCTTGAGTAAGATTTTTTTCGAGATTTTGATCGGCGTAGAACTGTGATTGGAATGGATCGGGTGATGCCGGTTCAGACATAAATTCACTTATGCCAAGATCTCGAAAGAGAACCATCAAACTGGGCTCGTTGAATGCATAAGTATGACTGCTAGAGAAACTAATTTGAATTTACTCGGGCATGGTTGGCTTCAGGTCAGGGGCGAATTTAGGAAGGGGAGCGGGGGAGGCGGACGCCTCTCCTCTCTCGGGATTCGACCCACCGCCGACCCAAAGGGTCCCCCTTTGGTACTTTTTAAGAAATCCAGTTTTGGTCGACCGACCGTAAAATTTTAAAGGAATTATTTTGTCAAAATTTTCCAAAAAGTGCCCAAAAACGGCTTTTTTACCGGTTTTTTTTCAAAATTTTGCCTGCGGCGCAGAAATTTTGGCCAAAACAGCGTCTTTTCAGTGCTTTAGGAGAGCACGGAAAATCAATTTGGTCGACCTAAAAAAAAGTCGTCGAAAATTTCGAAAGTTTTTTGAAAGTCCGCCCCTCTCAAGAAAATCCTAGATCCGCCCCTGCTTCAGGTGCAATTTTTTTAATCCCCATATTTTCCTTACACAACTAATGGAATCGAATTAGGTAGCTTTTCAAAGTTTTCAAAAGCCTTCTCTGTAGTACAAAAACATGCCGACAACCTGCAGCCAATCTATCCCAGGATACCAAATTGAAATCAAACCAAAGAACAATATCGACCAAATCTGTTTCGATAGGAGAAAATAAGTAAACCAAAAATGTGTTAAGTTTTTAGCTGATTTTGCTAAGGGGGTTAGGTTAAATAACCATTTTACAAAAATAATCATTTCTATTTTGAAATACCCTTAATGAAACAAACTAACATGAAATAACCACAAGCTTGAACAACATTTCCTCTAGAACTTTTATACCAAGAATACAAATATCCTTTCCATGCTTGAAATTCTTAAGCACTATGAAAAAGAAAACCTCACAAGTTCAATAAAAAGATCGGCAAAAAGATTGCAACAGACTGAAATATCCATGTTGCAGCATTTTCTTTTATGAACTTTTTTTTTGCTTTTTTTGGTTGTGATGGAATTATAGCCTTAAATTAAGGTACTTGTTTAAGGTAATTAAGGTACTCTCAATAAAACACTTAACCTAGATTAGATCATTCCTTAAGCAACTGAATTTAAGATTACAACTGCTTATTTGAAGAAGAGGCGGATGCGAGTCTAAGAAATTCGACTCTTTAGTTCTCGCTTTAGTACTAATGTACGGCAGTGTCATTTTTGGCCTACCGGTCCTAAAATTTTTTGAAGGCGCCATCGGCGCCAATAGATACTAATTTTGAGGGTATCACTCGCCAAAAAACGCATTTTTTTTTGTCAAAATCTTCAATGCCAAGAATGCCATTTTTGGCCTGTTTTTTTCTCAAACTTTTTCCTGCTGCATATATGTTTTTTTAAAAACAGGGTCTTTTATAGTGCTGTCTTTAAAAGCTAAAAAACTTTGTCTTCGACCTAAAAAAAATAGAATCGAAAAAAAAAACAGAAAATTTTTTTGAAAATCGGCATCCCCCTCGAACATTTTTTAGATCCGCTCTGGGTCCTGCGCGTAAAAACTCGATTCTGATCAGCCGAAAAACTTTGATTTTAATTTTAATCTAATTAACATCCTCCACCTGAATTTTTAGGGACGGCATTCAGATTGTTAACCTGGTCTACAACTTGTTTCAGGCGTGCTAACTGACGACCCGCATGATTACACAGACTTACCCGAAAAAAGAATCCAGAGTTACATGCATCCGAAAAAACTGATCCAATCGCCCGTTTCGTCTTCAGACAGCAGTAGGAAAACTCAGAGTCCGTTTAGTGTTAATCAACGATCACAAATGGGTAGTCCCAATAACTTCGGCTCAATGGTACGCAACGTTCATAACAACAATAACCTTTGTTATAATAGCAACAACAACAACCCGGACCAATCATTATCGTCACCAGGGTCTACTGGGTCTGCCCAACGGAAGAAGCGCCTTCCTCCCGACCCAAATCTCTTTCCCGAGTACTACGAGAACTCGGCTTCATCCGAATTTAACTCGACTCCGACAAATAGTCAGACGATGTCAAAAATAGCCCATATTGAACGGAGGATGAATCAGTACACATATGCAAACATGACGACACCTCGGCGATACGAGACGAACAGGTTGGCTGCCGAACTAACAACGACACGAGCTGTAAAACATCGAATCGGAAACGCTCAAAAACGAGAAGTGTACGAAGATTCCCAGAGGTTCACAGAAGACGGATCCCCCTTAAGAGCATATGAGCCCCCCTGGAAAAATCAATTATCTATGGATATGTCACAATTGACCAGCGAAGAATCTTCTGATCAATTTCCATCTCCAACAGAATCGGTCGTCAACCAAGAATCGAGATTACGAAACAGTGACGTCTATTTGGCATTCAGCGATAACGACCGGGAGAGTATTTTATAATCTACACTTAAATTGGTAAATTGTCAGTTTTTTTGTTTTGGGTTCGACTATGAAAATATTCAATTTTGTAATTGTATCACAAAAAAATGGCAAAGATGAACTCTTAGTTATAAATCTTGCTGTAAAATTTTGGATTTTGATATCAATTTAATGAATTGACTGCTTATTTAGAAAACTTTCACAAACAAGCGTGATAGTTTATTGAGAAAGAAAATGAGAGAATACATTTTTTACGGCCTGCAGAAGACCTAAATTTATATTGAATGCTACGTGACTTGCAATTTTGCAAAGGTCATTACCGATGATGAATGCCTCTGCTTTGCATTTTCATAATTTAAATCTTCAGAAGTCGGAAAATGAAGTGCTTTTGGTATCATAATCACAAATTAAAATTGTTTCAAACTGAGCAATACGAGGCCAAACTGTGCACTAGATAGGCGCACAATTTAGTGTCTGTTTGTTCATGGATTCCAGAGACAAATCTATAAACATGTTCCATTATGTCAGCGGACTCCACCTGCAGAACGTCCATGGATTCAGCGCATAAATACTTAAACCGTTAACTTTGTCGGCAAATTAGTTTTGATGCGGGTTTCACAACGAGTGAATAACTAGTTCTTCCGGAATCGGCATATGAGAACGGATTCAGCAAACTAAATTGATTCAGCAATATTATGCGAATTCCGCTCAAAATTTGCTGATTCGGCTTACGATTTGTAGATCCATTTTCAGATGCGAATTCCACGACAGTTTAAGTTTACTAAACACATATATTTTTATTTGTTCCGGATTCCACAAACGTTTTCTACCGATTCCGCAAAAATGCCTGTTTTTAAAGTAGTTTTGAGCAATAAAGTGTTTCAGCTATTTTTTCATGGAATCTAAAATAGCAAAGATTCAAGAAAAATAGCAATCTTGCGGATTTCGCTAAAATTCTGTTTTTGGCTTGTTGTGGAATCCGCTCACAAATCAGAAGATGCACAGTTTGGCCTCGTATTGCTCTAAAACCTATAGAAAAATTGGTTGAAGAGGACCAACTTGAGCAAGAGCAGAAAAAAAAACAACTTGTTTAAACGCTGCTGAAGTTTTTTTTGAGAACTATCTTATCTAAAATTGGCAAAATAATATGTACATTGTTTATCATAAACGCAAAACAAAAATGATAAAATTACTACTTCTAAATTAGGCCGCTGAAATAATTTAAGGCAAGATAGATGAGTTGCGCACTCAGGGGATATTCTTTTGAAATAAAACAAAAGTAATTTTTTTAAAATATGAATTATATATATTTTGTTTAATAAGTTGTAAAGACTTTTCAGTATTCGAGTTAGGATCTGTAATTTTCTCTTTGTTAATTATGCGTGATTCCCAAAAATGATACTGAAGTAGCCATAGCCGAAAAAATGAAAAACTGTGGCTTATAAATTTGTTTGTCCAGATTTTATTCAGGTTAAACTCAAATTTTTTTGTATGATAATCACATTAAATTGGTTCGAAACTTTTTTTTATTTTTTTTTGTTAACCGGATGTTGTTTTGCGTTCAATTTTGTTGGATTAGTTTATTCTTCTAGTAGTATCAAGCAATTGGCATCTAAACATATTTATCTCTGGTTACTTTATACAACCATTTCTAATCATTAATTGTGCTTGAACCTGTTAATTAACTTTTTCAAAAGAATGCTGTTTTGAGCCCAACTCTTCCTTTTATCCACTGCTCGGGGGTCAGGCAACGCTCACAGCTCATCCACTGACTAAAAACTAGCTAAGACGGCGGGGTTAGCTAATCAGTCCTTTTTTTCAACCTAAAGAGTAATAAAAAACATAATAACAAAATTTTGACAGTTATTGCTGCAAAAAATACCTGTAATGCGCCAAAACTAAAAAAAAACGCCCATATGTTATTTAATTTCCAAATGCACACAAAAATTATGAACTATAAAGATTTCCTGTGATTGCAGTGGTTTTGTGATAAATTTATATTGGCTAAAAATGCAAAACTGTGAAAAAAGGAAGTTCTTTCTTTTTGCGTTTTCACAAATTTATTCTTCAGAAGTCTGAAAATGAAGTGCTTACGGTCTCATAATAACAAATGAAAATTGTTTCAAATTGAGCAATACGAGGCCAAACTGTGCAGTGGATAGGCGCGCAGTTTAGTGTCTGTATGTTCCTGGATTCCAGAGACAAGTCTATAAACATGTTCCAAAATGTGTCAGCGGAATCCACCTGCAAAACGTCCATTGATTCAGCGCATAAATATTTAAACCGTTAACTTTGTCGGTAATTTAGTTTTGATGCGGGGTTTCACAACGAGTGAATAACTAGTTCTTCTGGATTCCGCAAATGTGAACGGATTCAGCAAGCTAAGTTGATTCAGCAAAATTATTCGGATTCCGCTTACAGTTTGCTGATTCCGCTTACGATTTGTAGAATCCAATTTCAGATGCAAATTCCGCGACAGTTTAAGTTTACTGAACACATAAATTTTTATTGGTTTGTGGATTCTACAATTTGTTCCGGATTTCACAAATTTTTCTACCGATTACGCAAAATTGCCTGTTTTTGGAGTAGTTTTGAGCAATGAAGAGTTTCAGCTTTTTTTTTCTATGGAATCTAAATTAGCAAAGAAGATTAAAGAAAAATAGCAATCTTGCGGATTTTGCAAAAACTCTGTTTTTTGGTTTGTTGTGGAATCCGCTCACAAATCTGAAGATGCCCAGTTTGGCCTCGTATTAGTCCAAAACCTATAAAAAATTGATTGAAGAGGACCAATTTGAGCAAGAGCAGAAAAAAATTAACTTGTTAAAACGCTGCTGAAAATTTTTTGAGAATTATCTTATCTAAAATTAGCAAAATAATATGTACATTGTTTATCAAAAAAACAAAACAAGAATGATAAAATTACCACTTAAACATTTTGTTTGATAAGTTGTAAAGAGTTTTCAGTTTTCGAGTTACGATCATTAATTTTTTCATAGTTAATTAAGCGTGACTCCCAACAATGATACTGAAGTAGCCATAGCAAGAAAAATGAGAAACCGGTACTTATAAATTTGGTTGTCCAGATTTTATTCAGGTTGAACTCAATTTTTTTTGTAAGATAATATAATCGCATTAGATTGGTTCGAAAGTTTTTCTATTTTTTTGTTAGCCGGATGTTGTTTTGCGTTCATTTTGTTGGATTAGATTATTCTTCAAGTAGTATCAAGCGATTTGTATCTAAACCTATTTATCTCTGGTTACTTTACACAACCATTACAAATCATTAATTGTGCTTGAACCTGTTAATTATATTTTTCGAATGAATGCTGTTTCGAGCCCAACTCTTCCTTTTATCCACTGCTTGGGGGTCAGGCAACGCTCGCAGCTCATCCACTGACTAAAAACTAGCTAAGAGGGCGTGGTTAGCTAATCAGTCCTTATTTTGAGCCTAAAGAGTAATAAAAACATAATAACAAAATTTTGACAAATATTGCTGCAAAAAGTACCTGTAATGCGCCAAAACTAAAACAACTCATATGTTTTTTAATTTCAAAATGCACACAAAAAACATAAAATAGAAAAGAGACCTGTGATTGCAGCGGTTTTCTGATAGATTATATATTGGCAAAAAATGCAAACCTGTGAAAAAAAATTTTGTTTTGCATTTTCACAATTTAAGTCTTCAGAAGTCTGAAATTGAAGTGCTTACGGTCTCATAATAACAAATTGAAATGGTTTCAAATTGAACAATACGAGGCTAAACTATGCACTGGATAGGCGCACAATTTAGTGTCTGTATGTTCCTGGATTTCAGAGACAAGTCTACAAACATGTTCCATTGCGTCAGCAGATTCCACCTGCAAAAAGTCCATGGATTCAGCGCATAAATATTTAAATCGTTAACTTTGTCGGCAATTTAGTTTTGATGCGGGGTTTCACAACGAGTGAATAACTAGTTCTTCTGGATTCCGCAAGTGTGGACGGATTCAGCAAACAAAGTTGATTCAGCAAGTTTATGCGAATTCCGCTTAAAATTTGCTGATTCCGCTTACGATTTGTAGAATTCATTTTCAGATGCGAATTCCACGACAGTTTAAGTTTATTAAACACATATTTTTTTATTTGTTTGTGGATTCCACAATTTTTTTCTACCGATTCCGCCAAAATTGCCTGTGTTTAAAGTGTTTCAGCTATTTTTTCATGGAGTCTAAAATAACAAAGAAGATTAAAGAAAAATAGCAATCTTGCGGATTTCGCTAAAATTCTGTTTTTGGCTTGTTGTGGAATCCGCTCACAAATCAGAAGATGCACAGTTTAGCCTCGTATTGCCCTAAAATCTATAGAAAATTTGTTGAAGAAGGCCAACTTGAGCAAGAGCAGAAAAAAATCAACTTGTTTAAACGCTGCTGAAGTTTTTTTGAGAACTGTCTTCCCTAAAATTAGCAAGTTAATATGTACTTTGTTTATCATAAAAGCAAAACAAGAATGATAAAATTACCACTTCAAAAATAGGCCGCTGGAAGAATTTAAGGCAAGATAGATGAGTTGCGCACTCAGGGGATTTTCTTTTGAAATATTACAAAAGTATTTTTTTTTAAATATGATTTATAAATAAATGTTCATTAAGTTGTAAAGAAGTTTCAGTATTCGAGTAACGATCAATAATTTTTTCATTGTTAATTGTGCGTGACTCCCAAAAATGATACCAAATAGCCACAGCCAAAAAACTGAAAAACCGGTATTTTTCAGTTTGGTTGTCCAGGTTTTATTCAGATTAAACTCAATTTTTTTTGTATGATAATCACATTAAGTTGGTTCGAAATTTTTTAAATTTTTTTGTTAGCCGGTTGTTGTTTTGCGTTCCTTTTTGTTGGATTAGTTTATTCTTCAAGTAGTATCAAGCATTTTTCATCTAAACATATTTATCTCTGGTTACTTTACACAACCATTACAAATCATTAATTGTGCTTGAACCTGTTAATTAACTTTTTCAAAAGAATGCTGTTTCGAGCCCAACTCTTCCTTTTATCCACTGCTTGGGGGTCAGGCAAAGCTCGCAGCTCATCCACTGACTGAAACCTAGCTAAGAGGGCGCGGTTAGCTAATCAGTCCTTATTTTGAGCCTAAAGAGTAATAAAAAACATAATAACAAAACTTTGACAGTTATTGCTGCAAAAATTACCTGTAATGCACAAA